ACAGTAGAATTGTAAATGGGCTGATCTAACAACGGCATGCTCGTAACTGAGCCTGATCTACAACAGGGAACTGCTGCTTTTTCTTTCCTAACCCTTACTACTGTCGTTTCCTCTACTTCTTTTGTATGTTTGTCACACTCTTGTGACCCGCTATTTCCGGGGTGCCTTGATAGTCGAAGCAGACTTTGTGCTGTTGAGGCTAGAGAGGTGAGCAGAGTAAGTCGGGTTCCCTGTAAAGACTTCTCTGTTGACATCCACCACTTGGCACTCATATGACCATATGCAGTTGCGAGCGCCGTAAAACCTCTAATAAAACAAATATCTTCTGATTTGTCAGATCAGTGGAGATACAATTCTTCATTGAACAGTGCTTAGAGCCTTCTAGGCATTAGGCGCTATATAAATTCCCATGATTATGATGATGATGATTATGATTAATAGCTTACCTCACTTGCAACACAATTAAGCTATATAAATTCCCATGATTAATAAGAACAGGAAGAGTACTTAGGCTGATAAGGACGAAAGAAAGTAACATAATAAATATTCAGAAAAGGAAGAGAAACTAGGCTGATACTGATAGATCAGGATCTAAGGACGAAAGATGTTTGACACTTCAGAGAAATAACAAATCATACGTTTAAGCGATTGCTCAAGACTCATGATTAATTCTTAAAATCGAAATGTGTTAGTAATTGCTGATATGTTTTGTTTTTACTGTTGTTCTTACGTGCATATTTTTAATGTATGGTAGAGAAAGTTCTTCTTTATTCGGTTGAACTGGTTTTCTTGCTACTGTGAAATTTTAAATGTTTCATCTCGTCGTGTGAATGAAGTATAACGCTCAGTGATCGTGTCATCAACGTAAAGCACTCAGGGCTTATACTCGTATGGGATGGGCGCTATATAAATGCTATCTATTATTATTATCATTACAGGAAAGACGGAGCAAACCACACCAGGGCAACCGCCAACCACCCACAGGCCAAGAATAGCCCTGTCAACATTCTGAACATGAGTAGTAGAAGGTACACAAGTCTTTGTGTTCACCGCGAGACACGAGACACAAGACACGAGACATAATACATGAGACACGAGACACAAGACACGAGACAATTAGATAAGACACGAGACATAATACATGAGACACGAGACAATTAGATAAGACACGAGACATAATACATGAGACACGAAACAATTAGATAAGACACGAGACATAATACATGAGACACGAGACACAAGACACGAGACAATTAGACAAAACACGAGACACAAGACACGAGACAATTAGACAAAACACGAGACACAAGACACGATGTACGAGACACAAGACAGGAGACTCGAGACACGAGGAACAAGACGCAAAACATGAAACACGCGGAACGAGACACAAGACACGAGACACAAGACTCTAGAAACAAGACACTAGTCAAGACAAGAGACATAAGACACTAGACATGAGACAAGAGACACAAGATACAAGACACAATGTACAAGACACTAGACATGATACACTAGACACGAGACACTAGACACAAGACACAAGACACTAGAAACAAGACACTAGACACAAGACACCAGACACTAGACACAAGATACGAGACACAAAACACGAGATACGAGACAAGAGACAAAAGACAAGACATGAGACACTAGACACAAGACAAGAGAGACGAGACACAAGACACTGGACACGAAACATTAGACAATATACGATACTAGACAAGACACACCAGACACGAAACACGAGACACAAGACCTTAGACACGAGACACCAGAAGAAGAAGAAGAAGAAGAAGAAGAAGAAGAAGAAGAAGAAGAAGAAGAAGAAGAAGAAGAAGAAGAAGAAGAAGAAGAAGAAGAA